GCTAACATCCATGGTTTGACAAGCCTCCTTATAATCTTCAGGTTCTCCTCCATCAGCCAACAACATGTAGTCCATGTATCTCCTGTTAGGCACATGGGGTCAAGAGGACCTTCTCAATATAAGAGTTGTAGTAGAAGGTTCTAACTGGTCACCGCTTTCTTCATTTGATTCCTCTAACTGAGGATTCCTAATTATAGAAATGTCTGGGATATCTTCCACCTCTACATAAGCTGGCCCACTCGCTTCTGAGTTGCTAGCACTTGTGTCATGCCGGTCCTTGTACATCACTCTTTCATTAAAGATGACATCTCTGCTGCGGATCATCTTTTTGTTTTCATCATCCCATAAGCGGTAGCCAAACTCATCTTCACCATAACCAACGAAAGTATATTTTTTTGATTTTGAATCAAGTTTGTTTCTACCTTGATCACTGATGTGCACATATGCTACACATTCGAAAACTCTAAGATGTGAGAGTTTTACTTCTTTTCTGCTCCATACCTGTTCTGGTAACTTGTGATCAAATGGTACTGATGGACTTCGGTTGATCAAGTAAGCTGTTGTGTTGACTGCTTCTGTCCAGAACTGCTTTCGTAGGTCTGACTGCATACGCAAGCTTCTGGCTTTTTCAGTCAATGTTCAATTCATACGCTCAACTACACCATTATGTTGAGACGTACCATGCACGATTCTCTCCATTATGATCCCGTACTCATAGAAAAACTTCTTGAATCTGGTGGTTACATATTTACCACCATTGTCGGATCTGAGCTTCTGAATCTTCAAAAATGTCCCATTTTACACCATAGCTTTCCAAATCTTGAAATCTTAAAATACTTCTGACTTGTGTTTCAGAAAGTAAACTCATACCTTTCTAGAGTGATCATTGATAAAAGTCACGAAGTATTGCTTCCCACTAACGGATGGGACAGTTGTTGGACCCCAAACCTCAGAGAGGATGAGCTCAAGATTCTCTTTCTTTGGGGTTCATCTACTTGTCTGAAAGCTGACTCTCTGCTGCTTTCCAAATATACAATCTTCACACATGTCAATTTCTATTAACTGAAGGCCTGGTAATTCCTTGTGAGTGCATGATCTTCATCCCTTTTTCACTCATATGCCCAAGTCTTGGTGCCATAGATTGGGATTTTCATTTGTTGCAACTGCAATCAGATGACATGCTTCTGTTTTCTTGTAAAGAGTACCACTCTTTTTCCCTCGAGCAATTTTCATCGCACCCTTTGAAATCTTTCAATCATCACCATACAAGATTGTCGTGTAGCCTTCACTGGCTAGCTGGCCCACGAAGATTAAATTCTTCGTCAGGTCGGGAATATGTCTGACATTTTTCAATTCCCATAGAGACCCGTTCAACTTTATTTTTATTTCCTCTTTCCCTACAACCTCACATGATTGCTCATTACAAAGGTAAACTTTACCAAGATTTCTGGGAACATAATTCTGGAATAGTTCCTTTTGTGAGGTAGCATGAAAGGATGCCCCAGAGTCTAACACCCAAGACTCTTTTCTGTTCTCTAAAGAACATATCAGCATATCTCCTGCAGCTACTAAAACAATATTTGCCTCTTCTTTTGTCTCCTGACTCTTGGGTGCACTCTTGCACTAATTTCTGTATTGCCCGATCTTCCCACAATTCCAGCACTCGATCGACTTCGAGTTTTGGGAACTACGAGGATTTTTGGACTTGGATCTTCTTCCTTTTGATTTGTAGTGTCTGCTTTCTTTGTTTGAACTTCTTCCTCTTGACTCTGTATGCAATACAGAAGAGGTCGATGGTTCACCCGACTCTCTCCGCCAGATCTCTTCACTGAGAACCAAATTTTTTGAACATAATCAAATCTCAACTTATTGCTTCCCGATGAGCTACTCACAGCCGTGATCTTAGCACTCCAACTTTCTGGTAGGGAAGACAAAAGTATTAGAGCCCGTACTTAATCATCAAACTCGATCCCAACTGAATTCAACTGAGTTGTGACGGTGTTGAGCTCATTGAAATGATGTGCCACCGGAGCACTTTCGGTCATCCGCAGGTTGAACAATCGCCTCATCAAAGGAACTTTATTTGAGGCTGATGGTTTCTCGTACATGTTGGAAAGAGCCTTCACGAGGCCTGCTGTCGTCTTTTCTTTTACAATGTTAAAAACAACATTACGGGATAGCATCAACCGAATGCATGGTTCCAAGAGCTTGTTTGTCAAGGAGAGTCCATTCTTCCTCCTTCATGTCCTCTGGCTTCTTTTCTGTGAGTGGTTGATACACAATATTTTGGTACAGATAATCCTCAATCTGCATCTTCCAAAAGCCAAAGTCCGCACCATCGAACTTTTCAATTTTCATTTTTCTTTCGTCTGCAGCCATCACTTCGTATCTGATCTGACTTCTCTACTGGATCGTTTCAGTATTTTTTGTGAACTACCGTGTTTTAGAACACGTCGGTAATAGTGCCGACAATATTGGCACTATTCACATTTTTCACTATTCACAAAATAGCAGCATTCTAAAAGTCGCTAGGCGCCTGTTAGGCGCTCGACCAGCGCCTAGCGCCTAGGCGGGGCCTACGCGGCGCCTAGTCGGGGCCTAGAAATCAATATTAAATACCTTATATTTTATTTATTTTAACTACCTACAAAATAAGATTATCTCAATTTATAATAAATTGACACACTTAAGTCCAAATAATCAAATTAATATATTTTAAAGAAAACATGAGAACAAAATAATGTAATTAATATTTAAAAAAATTAAAAAAAAAAAACTAAAAAATTGCCGCCGAGCGCCTATGAGCGCCTAGGTCCGCCTATGTCCGCCTAGGCGCCGCCTAACAGCCTGGCCGCCGAGCCCGCCAAGGCCGCCTAGGAGCGCCTAGGCCCGCCTAGGTCCGCCTAGCCGCCTGGCCGATATTTTCTGCCGATTTGTGCAAATCGGAGGCGCCCGGACACCGCCTAGCACCTAGGCGGCCGCCTAGACCGATTTTTAGAACAGTGCAAAATAGTAACCCACACAAAAATTATAGAATTAACAATTTGGCTCTGATACCAGTTGTTGGAAAAAATACGCTAAAATTTTCATGAAGTTGGATCTATAAAAATGAAATAAAAAAGAAAAATTGGACACACCAAATTGATAACAGAGATTGTCAATAATGCCTACGTCTCCGAACTACTACAGATATTTTATTGGGAAAAGAAATACACTCGTGTTTTACAAAACACTCTCAAAATCACTCACAACCCACAACTCAAATACACACAAAAGCTAAAATTCTTGCTTCTTGCTCACACCCTTTTTCTGTTTCTTTTCTCTCTCTTTTTATTGTGTATTTGTTGTTGTGTGTTTCATTCATCAAACTTCTTCTCTATTTATAGAAGAAAAGTGCAATGTGGATTACACTCAATTGTCAAAAAACAACACCTTACATGTGTTTAATGCTTGGTCAAATTATGGCACCTTCTATAACTTTCAACACCAAATCCCCAAATCAATCACCTATGGATTCAGGTACGCTTCCGCTATTCAGTCTCGATTCTCAATTATTCGGTATGAAAGCTCCTGGATCAACGCGATGTATTTCGCCTAAAGTTAATTCCAACAAGTGGTATCAGAGCCATTTCTATTGGATTTTAGCGAATCAAAATTATTTGAATCCTTCAGTTCATTGGGATTTGGTTGCGATATCAATCTGCTTTCAGTTTTGGGATTTATTTCCCACGTATATTATTGTATGGATTGAAATCATGTGATGTTGGATATAAGTATTTAAATCCAATTGGAAAAAAATTAAAACTGTTTGTGCAAATTTTCATTGCTTGATTTGAAGCATGTACATCAATTATTTGATTTCAAAAGGCACTACAGTCCACAGATCTCGAATATCGAGATAATATGTGATTAAGCATATGCTCATTAGTTTTGTGCGACTCTAATCAGTTTCAGTTGCTTTAAATGAGTGGATTATGGATTCAGATTGAGATGGATTTAGGTTCACTTATTTGCTTGTGTTATTAGAAATTGATAAATAATTGGAATAATCCATTTAATTAATCTGAGTATAGTGTCAGATAGGGCTGGGCAAAAAATTCGAACCGAACCGGTGAATGGTAGATCCGAATCGAAATCGAACCGAATTTTCGGTTAACCGGGGTACTCGGTTCGGTTACAAATACCTCAAATGAAGTATTTGCTCGGTTCGGTTCGGTTACGTTTTTTAGGATTTTTTACTCCGGTTAACCGAACCGAACCGTATATTAAGCCCAGATAGCCACTTTGTGTTAGCCCAATAAGCATATCCTTAACCTTAAGCCCACTGTGCAATCTATTTTTTTGGAAACCCTACGAGAGGCCATCTTCACCAATTTCTTCATCCGCCTCTCTTCCTGCCAAATGGAACGCTCCTAAATTTATCCCAAACACCTTCTCCTTCGACCAGTCCTTCTCGTTGGCGTTTATCGCAGCACCCGAACTCGCCAGTGACGCCCTACCTTATCGCCGTGAGACAGAGCCGAGAAGCCCATCCGAGGAGGAGCACACTTTCAACCCCCGTGCGACACCTCCGAGCAGTCGCCTCCCTCTGCTTGTGCTCTGGCGACAACCACCACGAGACTAGCCGTCTCCAGGCCTTCTGTCGGCGTACAGAGAAACCCGCGAACTCGCAGCCCAGCCTAGCCGCGAACAGAAACGAGTCGAGACCCGTCGCCCATCGACCGTGCAGCGCTCTTCCGCCGTGGTCGGTTGTGTTCGAGAGGTAATATTGGCTGAGCTTTATTACCTTATAATGGTCGAGTTTTAGATGTTTGTTTATGTGTTGTGGTTGTGCCATTATTTTGACTTAATTGTTGTGGCTTATACTTGCGCTTTATATGCTTAAATTGTGTGTTATCTTGGTGTTTAAGTTCAGTTCTTATGTGAAGTAATTTGGGCAGATTTGGTAGATTTATTGGTTTTTGATTCATTGGTTTTTGATTTATAGAATTATGGAGTCAATGGGTTCAAAAACCAGTGGTGATGCTGTGGATTCAACCCAGCCATTAGAAACGGAAACACCGACTGAGCCACTGACAGAACCGACTGAGACAGCAGCTGAAGCTCAAGCTGAACCAATTGCAACAGCTCCCACAAATGCGACACCCAAACTTCGATCCATTGCATGGGATAATTTTAAAAGAACTGAAGCCGGGGATAGGGCCAAAGTTCACCACTGTTCTACCTTGATAAGTTGTAAGGGCAAGCAAGGTAAAAGTACTAGTGCTATGTTAAACCATTTGAAAAGATGCAAAGCAAAGTTGGATGAGGTTCAAGATGAAGAGCGGCCGGGAAAGAAGATTAAGCAGGTAACATTGCATAATCAACCTAGAAGGGGTAGTGATTCCACCGTTGTCAATTCTTTTTTGCATTTTGATCAACCACAATGTCGTAAAGCACTTGCAAAATGGGTTGTTGTTGATGAGATGCCATTGGAATGAGTTTGTGGATTATTATTTACAAACAGGGATGGTTTATGGTTTGTGATTGTGATTATGATTTATGATTTGCAAACATCAATGATGGGCAGATTATGTTTAATTATTTCAGTTCGGTTCGGTTCGGTTCGGTTTATTATTTGCAAACAAGTTAGCATATTTGTGTTAGGTTTACTCGGTTCGGTTTGGTTAATTCGTGAATAGTAGGATTTTTTTCGGTTAACCGAAAATTTGGTTAACCGAGATTTTCGGTTCGGTTTTGGTTAGCAAGTTCGAATATTTGCTCGGTTCGGTTCAGTTAGCAAATACCTCAAAAAACTCGAGTATTCGAACCGTGCCCAGCCCTAGTGTCAGACCCTGCTCTCGGATTATTTTATTGGCAGTTGTGTGTAATTGGATTGAGCATTTTATTCAAGGGCCTTGATTAATATGTCAAATTGTATGAGATGTTCATGATTATTTGCATGAGTTTCAGATCCCTTGAATTCAACCCTTTAGAATTTAAAATGTTGGATTCGAATATTGGTATAAAGTTTTATATATTTTGAGATAATTTAATAGCCCATTTTGTTATTAATGTAAATTACGTGTTTAGTTCCGAAATATTTATGTTATCGATCATTATCGGAACTAATTATTCCAGTCAAGAACGTTCGAATAAATTTTCGAAGTCATGTTTATGCTCGGAATAAATTTTTAAGTAATTAATCTCATATGCTATTAGTTAATCCAAGCTTAATCATAAGTTACCGAGCTTAAGTTCATTGATCATGCACTAATTGCCTAGCATTAGTGAGAAATCACATAACTTAGGTACATGCTAACCACGCTTAGCACTAATGTGCTTAAGCCGTGCAATTAGCTTTAAGCCGTGCAATTACCCCACGCCACGGTTAAGTGCCGAAAGTCATATGAAATAAGGTTTTTCTACCCAACATCATTGCAAGGGACATGTGGAGGTGTGATAGGGTCCTAAGAGATGACTAAGCCACAAATTTTCCACCTAAGGCCTTAGGCTCAAGGCAAGTGGCGAGAGCTAATTGGCTAAGCCAATTACTTCCAATTTTCATCCAATTTCACTTCCCTTTCGGCCATCTATTTAAGTAAAGAGTTGGTAAATTTTACCCTATACTACCAACAAATATTCAGTAAGCTTTGAGAGAACTAAGCCAAAGTTAAGCAAGATTAAGATATTTCTTCACGTGCACGCACGCAAGCAAGGATCCAAGAGGTCACGCATAAGCCCGTTTGTTTATTTTCTTCGTGCGATTGAGGAGGTAACTTCTTTTTACCTTCTTCTAATGTTAACATGATCCTATTAAGTTTAAGTCATGGTGTTCAATTCATGAAGAAGCCATGTTATGCTAGGTTTAAGTCATTTAAGTCATGTCCATTTTAATCGGCAACACCCGAGCGATCCTTGTTCTATTAGACAATATTGGATATATTATGTTGATTCATGAATTAATTGTCGAGGGAAGTTGTCGAGTAGTTGAGGGATTGGTCAATAGTTGTGGAAGGCGCACGGTGCGAACGCCACGACCGTTCGGGTGTCATCGAGTTATGTTCATGGTCATCCAACCGTTTTATGTGTGATTATTCATGTTATGTTAAGCTATGTTGATTCATGTTGAAACGGTTGGAGGAAAACGACAAGTGGCCGAGTGTATCGGTCGTAACGTCGGGTCGCGCATAGCGCACGCTACAAGTTCCTTCCGAACCATGTCAAGGTATTGCTATGCATTTTTACTTAATTCATGTGGTTATGATCATTTTATATCAAGTCATGTTAATTCATGTTGCAATTGTCGGAGGAAATCGCCGGACGGCCGGCAAGAGCCGGTCATGGTCACGCTGCCCGCACACAGTGGCCACAGCGTACCGGCAGTCAGTCCAGGCTGTGCGGGTGGTACGCGTATGCCATTTAGGCGTCGCGCATAGCTCCTGCCCGCAGCAAGCTGTCAGTGGGCAGTGCCTAGCGCACGCCAGCATGCCCATCGCACGTCAGTGCGCTCAACAGTACGTCAGTCGGCCTTGGGTAGTGCCCGACAGCACGCCCGAGTGTCCAGTACCATCAGGGCTGCCCAGTAGCGCCCGCGCGGTAACAGTTCACGCTAGCTAGCGCCCATGCACGCGTCCATGTGCTCAGATGCCTGTCACGGTGCTCGGCAGCGTCTGGCAGTGCCCAGTCGCGCAAGGGTCGGCACCCGTAGTGCCCGGCGGCGCCAGTTACCACACCGCAAGCCCAGTCGCATGCCAGTCGTGCCCAGTGGCACGCCAACGTGTGCGGACGCCCAGGCCCATGCCAGTCCGTGCACAGTCCATGCGAGCGCCAGCGACCGACCGCCCGACCACAGCAGGCCGGCGGTCCAGCCAGACCCAAACCGACTGGTTTAGACCGGTTCATCTTATGTTTTAATGTTTAGGGATCCGGTTCAGTTTATGTCAAGATTTCAGTTAAATTATGGGTCCGATCCTGTTTAGTAAATTCAAGTCAGTTCAGTTCCGATTTTAACCGGTTCCGATTATACTGGTTAAGTTCAAATGTTATGTCAAGTCAAGTCGAGCATCTTAACATATTTAACAGCTATTTTAATCAGTCTGAGCATAGTACTTAGTATTTGTTTATATTATGTTACAGTTTGATCAGGCTACTGTTATCAGCACTACCATTTTCATATCGACGGTTCAGGTGGGGACTCAGATTGGGTATTACATTGATTATAATTACTCTACCATGTTTGAGGTATGTATCATGCTATGTTATGTATCCACTTGGAATGGTCGCTTGTCCATTCTGGGTTCTAGTGGCCTAGTCTTCCCACTAGAGTGTGCACACGGTGTCCGACATTTTCATGCTGGCAGATGAGGTAACGGTTGTGAGGCAACGTCATGTGATGGAAATGGTTTACCGGTATCATGCTGTGTTATGTTTATGTATATACCAGGATCATGATATTGCAATTATTTTCACTGTTTACTTTAGTATGAGTTCCTACAGAGCACAGTGGACTTTAGTGCTCACGCCCCATGTTATATATGTTTTTTTTTCAGGTCACAGAGTTGGACTGGAGGAGTGAGCTGACGGGCGGTTCAGGATTTTGTTTACATGTTTGAATTTGGCATAGCAGTGCTGTTACTATCTCCCGTAGTGGAGTTAAATGTTTTGCCACGCTACGTTTTCCGCTGATTTTTGCCGTTTGTTAAACTTAGCCAACCGTTTTTCTTAAAAACTAAAATAATGGTTTCTACGTAAAGTTATCGTTGTGGTAGTACTCTGAAACATGATTTCGCAAACTAATCAGTAAATTTTATTAAAAGGTTTTGCGAAAATTTAACTCTGATATTTATGACATAGCGGGGTGTTACAGTTGGTATCAGAGCACATTTCTGCATCTCTGAAAACTTTTACGAGTTAGAAAATTTTTATAAAACCTGAACACGTCACGCTCACGCCTCACCGACTACAGGTAAGTGTTGATTATGTTTTAAAATTATAAACAAATGACTATATCTATGATCAGAAAAACCACAGTTATGACTTAGTTAGGATGCTCGAGTCATGTTCAGGAATTATGGTTCAGTATATCCATGATTTAATGTCAGTATTTCCGAGGTCATGTTTAGCAACTCGTCAAGAGATTTGTGCGCCTTATTCCTTAGTTAAAGTATTTTTCTTTGTGCCTGATAATGTTGAACATTTCCAATATTCAGATGCCGCTACGTAGGGAGCCAGATCATCCGGCAGTCCCTCAGGCCATTGTAGTCGCTCAATTTCGCGACTATCATCCCAAGAAATTCTCCGGCCAGGGAGATCCTCGTGTCGTTGATGAATGGGTTCAGGGCCTTGAAATGATTTTCGAGGTCATGGACTGTCCCGAGCGTTATCGCGTTCTATGCGCACAGATCTAACTGACGGGTGACGCACGTCTCTGGTGGAACGCCTACTGGGGAATGCGTCCAGGTGAAAAGGAAGGCTGTACGTGGGACAGGTTCAAGGAGTTAATTCGCGAAAAGTATTACCCTGCGTACTATCGAGCCGAAATAGAGCGTCAGTTTCTGGCACTCAAACAAGGTACTCGTACAGTGGACGAGTACGAGCGAGAATTCACTCGACTTGGAGCCTTTGTTCCTGATCTGGTGAGCACAGAGGCAAAGAGATCGGGACGTTTCACAGACGGGCTTTTGCCAGCAGTCTGTCATAACATTGTAGGACACGGCGTCCAAACTTATGCTTGTACCGTCACCATAGCCCAGGAAGTTGATGCCAGTATCCGAAGGGAGGCCAACCATGATCGTCTTCAGCCATCTGCCCCTGCCCAATCATCCGCAGTACCACCCATTCAACCCGTTGATGCCCAACAACCGAAGGAAAAGAAGAGGAAATGGAAAGGCTTTCAGAATAACAGGAGGAACCGTCAGAGACAACAAGGTGCTGCCAGGCCACAGCAGATTCCACCATGCACTACATGCGGACGACCCCATCGTGGAGAGTGTCATTTCGGCCAGGACATTTGCTATTATTGTCATCAGCCCGGACATTTTGTCAACAATTGCCCAGAGCGACCGCAGCCACAACAGCAGCCACAGCAGCAGCAGCAACAGCCCAGACAACAGGCCCCGAGGCCACCCCAGCAGCAGCAGCAGAGGGGCAGACAATAGGCTCGTGTTTATGCTGTTGATCAGGTCGAGGTGGAGCAGCACCCAGGTACTATGTCTGGGATGATTATGCTTAACGATGTTCCTGTATTCACTTTATTTGATACTGGAGCCACTCGCTCTTGTATGTCACAACGATGTCTTGATGCCATTGAAGTACATTCTATTACTGCTGTCGATCCTCTCAAGGTGAATTTAGCCTCGGGACGAAAGATAGTGACCGATGCCAAAGCTACTGATCTCAGCCTGTCTATCAGTGGTCGTATCTTGGCTACCGACGCTTATGTTCTCGAGATGAGGGACTTTGACCTCATTCTAGGTATGGATTGGCTAACATATTTTCA